CTCTATGGCTCCTATACACCGTAAGACGTATGCATCCGATTGTTTGGTATTAAATGGGTATTCTGCACTCCTCATTCTGAGGGAATAAGCAGTCCAAGGGGCCAATTCTCGTATGTTCTCTCGATCAGTGACAACTGACTGAACACCAAAAAGGAAACCTGTTGAAGTGAAATGGACACTATGAGAAACGGTGACTTGATCAGCATAGCCCTGACTGCTAATGAACAATGTAATTCATTATCCCTCTTAGTAGTTTTTTTTGTCTGTTCTACTTAATATGACTGGTTTAATTCTGTAATTAATACACAGTTATTCTTAAGTGTTGAAATTTAACTGAAATGTGATCCCTGTTAAACATAAGAGTGGGAATAAGAGAGGGAAGAGATGTACAATTTGGGACATGCTCAGGCTGACTTGTCCCAAACAGTAGAGTTAGAAACATAACAGGGGACTCCAATTCATTCCCATCAAGGTGGCATGTACCAATGCCATCTCACTAGTCCAAGTGATCAATTTCAGTTCATCATTCATCATAATGAAAGGACTAAGAGTCAAAGGGAGCACATAAACAAGTCTAGTACCTGCTAATACTAACCGATAGAATAAATAAAGGGGAGAGTGATCCAACATGGGAAGCGAGATACTCAGCAGACTCATAGAATGGCAGATGTCCTAAACAGCACTCTGGCCTCAGAATCAGCCCTAAAGTCATTCCAATCTGGCTGAAAAGCCCATGAGAGTATTTCAGGCATGGAAAGCCAAGACACTCTGGCAAAAACAAAAACAAAAACAAAAACAAAACAAAACAAAAACAAAACAAAAACCTAAATGAAGATCTCTGTGAGTGAGATCCCAGTGGAAAGAACAGGTCTTCAAAGAAGGAGGTACCTTTCTCTGAAGGGAGAAGAGAACCTCCACTTTGACTATGACCTTGTCTAAACAAGATAAGAGTCGGAGAACTCAAGGGACTTCCATAGCCTTGGAAACTCATGACTGGTGCATAGACAGGAGTGTCAATTGGTAAAGTCAACAACAGGAGTCACTGTGCACTTACTCCTCATGTAGGATCTCTGTCCTTAGTGTGCTGTGCATTGAGACTTAATGCTATAACGAGTACTCAAACAGTATATTTCACTTTGTGTTTCTATGGGGGTGCAAACTGTTGAAATCTTTACTTAATGTATACTAAACTGATCTTCTGTAAAAAAAAAAAAAAAAAAAAAAGAAGAAGAAGAATTTATCATTTCCGAACTTGACTCTCACTGGGATTAAACATGACAATAGGTCTGATCTGATTTCATCATCATTTAAAAAATCATCTATTATTTTTCACTTTGTGTTTCTGTGTGGGAGCAAACTGTTGAAATCTTTACTTAATGTATGCTAAACTGATCTTCTGTATATAAAGAGAATCGAAAATGAATCCTCATGTGAATGGAAGGGGAGAGGGAGTGGGAAAGGGGAGGGATGCGGGTGGGAGAGACGATATGGGGGGGAAGCCATTGTAATCCATAAGCTGTACTTTGGAAATTTATATTCATTAAATAAAAGTTAAAAAAAAGAAAAACCTGCAAAACAAAAAACTGCAATAAGAAATTAAAATTACTAATAATTCTGCCACTCAGAGATTGCCATTAATATTTTTCCATATACTTCCTAGGCTTCTCTTATACATATACACACATGTATATTTATACACATATTCATATACACACTTGTGTTATTTTATTACTTAATAAAGATAATATCAGAATATAAAAAAAATAAGTAGAGGCAATAAAAGCAAAAATGGACAAATAGGATTATATCAAGCTAAAAAGATTATACATTGCAAAGCAAACACTCAACAAAGTAACGAGGCAATCTTCACAAATGAGAGAAAATATTTGAAAACTATGCATCTGGTTAAGGATTAATGTTGAGCATATGTAAGGAGCTCAAGAAACTCAACAACAAATCAAACAATCCAATTAAGAAATGACAAAGGACAAGAACAGGCAGTTTTTTCAAAGGATGAAATATAAATGGCCAACAGACACATGAAAAATGCTCAGGATCACTAGCCATCAGGGAAATGCAAATGAAAAACCACAATAAGGAGATGGTACTATGGTACAGAGGATTAACCTGTGCTGTATCCCATATGGGCACTGGTTCTAGTCCCGCCTGTTCCACTTCCAATTCTGGCAAGGCAGTGGAAGATGGCACAAGTCACTGGGGCCCCAAACCCATGTGGGAGACCTGGATGAAGCTTCTTTCCCCTAGCTTTAGCCTGGTGCAGCCCTGGCCATTGTAACCATTTGGGAGTGAATCAGTGGATGGAATATCTCTCTCTCTGCCTCTCCTTCTCTCACTCTGTAACTCTACCATTCAAATAAACAATAAATCCTAAGGGAAAAAAAAAACACACACACATTGGGATTTCACCTCACCCCAATTAGAATGGCTAACATTCAAAAGTCAAAAAGTAACAAATTCTGGCAAGGATATGGAGGAAAAGATACCCTAATACACTGTTGGTGGGAACATAAACTAATGCAACCATTATGGAAGGCATCATGGAGATTCCTCAGAAATCTGAAAATAGATCCACCATACGATCACATCAACCATCACATTCTTGAGAATGCACCCAAAGGAAATAACATCAGCAAATGAAAGAGTTGTTTGTAACCCCACGTTTACAGCAGGTCAATTCACAATAACTAAGATATGGAATCAACCCAGATGTCACATCAGCTAATGACTGGATAAATAAAATGTGGTATAAATGCACGATGGAATACTACTCAGCCATAAAAATAGGGTAAAATCCTGTCAACTACAATAAAATAATGCAAATGGAGAACATTTTACTTATTGAACTAAGCCAGATCCAAAAAGACAAATATAATATGCTTACTCTGATTTGTGGTAGCTAATATATGGAGTATAAACATTTAAAAAAAAACTGAATGCATAAGAGAGAAATTGACAACTTGTGATTTGGCTATTGTTTACAGCCCTTGTCTGTATTCCTGTGGATCAGTGGTTTTTCTTTTTATTTGTTGAAGACAATATGCAGTAGAGCATTAAGCCTGTGATTAGAAATTGAAAATGTTATTTCTGGAAAGCCAAGACACTCTGGCAAAAAGATCTCTGTGAGTGAGATCCCAGTGGAAAGAACAGGTCTTCAAAGAAGGAGGTACCTTTCTCTGAAGGGAAGAGAGAACCTCCACTTTGACTATGACCTTGTCTAAACAAGATAAGAGTCAGAGAACTCAGAGGGCTTCCATAGCCTTGGAAACTCATGACTGGTGCATAGGGAGATTACTGATGCCATAGACAAGAGTGTCAATTTGTAAAGTCAACAACAGGAGTCACTGTGCACTTACTCCTCATGTAGGATCTCTGTCCTTAATGTGCTGTACATTGAGATTTAATGCTATAACGAGTACTCAAACAGTATATTTCACTTTGTGTTTCTATGTGGGTGCAAACTGTTGAAATCTTAACTTAATGCATACTAAACTGATCTTCTGTAAAAAAAAAAAAAAAAAGAAATTATCAATTCCCAACTTGACTCTCACTGGGATTAAACATGACAATAGGTCTGATCTGATTTCATCATCATTTAAAAAATCATCTATTATTTTTCACTTTATGTTTCTGTGTGGGAGCAAACTGTTGAAATTCTTACTTAATGTATACTAAGCTGATCTTCTGTATATTAAGATAATCGAAAATGAATCTTGATGTGAATGGAAGGGGAGAGTGAGTGGGAAAGGGGAGGGTTGCGGGTGGGAGGGACGGTATGGGGGGGAAGCCATTGTAATCATAAGTCGTACTTTGGAAAATTTATTATTCATTAAATAAAAGTTAAAAAAAAAAGAAAATGTTATTTCAAAAATTAAAAGAATTGAAGAATGAAAGGAGGAAGCATGGTTGTGTTCTTAGACTTGTATCTATGAAATGCATGAAATCTGTTCTCTTTATGTTAACAAACAAGAATTAATATTATAATATGTGGACCTAAAATATAGTAGCTATTTTATGGAAAAAATGTATGTATGCTATCTCTGAAAATAATAAAATATTTTTAAAATAAAATATGTGTTATAATTTCTACAGCAACCCACTAAAAACAATGCAGAGAACTATAACTAAATAGTTAAGAGATCAGTTGAAATTGAATTCTAAAAAATAGACAAATATTCATAGGAAAATAGAAGAGGAGGAAGAAGGAATTAAATTTTCAGAGAGAATGAACAGAATACAAATAACAAATCATCAAATAACATAATTATTGTATTATTTTTAGTTCATTAAACTTTATTCTATAATATTAAAACATGAGTACAAGCTCATTTTTCACTAGAATTTGTAAAACTTACCTTTGTACATTCCTCTCGGATTATTTATTAGCATTAAGATCTTGAATGTGGGGCAGGTATTGTGCCATTGCAGGTTAAGCCATTCCTTGGGACACCTGCATTCCATATAAGAGAGCCTAGGATGGAGTTCAACCTCTGCTTCCAATCCAGTTTTCCACTTCTGCACCTAGGAGATAGCAGTTGATGGTCCAAGCACTTGGATTCCTGATCCCATGTGGAAGATCTGGAAGGAGTTCCTGGATCCTGGTTTCAACCAGGGCCAGCTCCAGCTGTTGTGAGCATTCAGAGAATGAACCACAATGAACCAGCGATGAAAGTTCTTGCTAACTCTCTCTTTCTCTCCTCCTCTCTCTTTCAAATAAATAAGTAAATAAATCTTGGAGAATTGAAAAGTCAGAACATGTGGAGAAAGTGTTCCACAGAAAGACGACTGTTTTCCTCCCTAAAAGCACTCAAACAGGTCCTTATGCAGAGAAACTTCAAAAGTTTATGGAAAATGGAATTAAAAGATAAATTTATGTAGGTGCAAAATATTTTAAAATCCGTGCATACTCATGTGTTAGCCTTCAATATAATTTTCAGAGACTTATAATGCTTCAGCTTTTCTCCCATCTCACTGACCCCTGCTTACTCATTCTCTACACCTTACCTCTGATATTGCACCTTCCTGGAATCCTGTCATCTCTTTACCCCTCATTATCCTTTTTCTCTCAACAGTTGCCCTCTAATCTCTGCACAGCAGCCAGATTAATACTGAGAGGTATGGTGACAGAGAATTATTCTTTTAATAAAAATATATTTCATTAATATTATATACAATGCATTAATTCTAGGTGCCTGGTACACAGTGATGTTCAAAATGAATTTTGTCTTTTTCATAAAAGCAATAGAAATTATTAAACATTTTGAAGCATCATAAGGTTTACAAGCCTGAGAGCTCTGTCACAGAGAATACAATGGAAAAAGATGAGAGCACGCAGGAAGAAGCACAGGGCTATCTGATTCAGAAGAGAGCTAAAGATAGGAGGTGACTGCTAAGAGGAAAACTCGAGACATCTCTGAAACAAATAGCTCAGACTATTTTAGAAGAAAACTGACAGGACACATTGAGAAACAGTCTTTAGGGACGGTGCCGTGGCTCACTTGGTTTATCTTCCACCTGCGGCACCAGCATCCCATATGGGCGCCGGGTTCTGGTCCCAGTTGCTCCTCTTCCAGTCCAGCTCTCTGCTGTGGCCTGGGATGGCAGTGGAGGATGGCCCAAGTGCTTGGGCCCCTGAACCCACGTGGGAGGTCAGGAAAGGGCACCAGGCTCCTGGCTTTGGATCGGCGCAGCTCCAGCCATTGCGGCCACTTGGGGAGTGAGCCAGCGGAAGGAAGACCTTTCTGTATCTCTCTCTCTCATTGTCTGTAACTCTACCTGTCAAATAAAAAAAAAAAAGAGAGAAATGGGTTTTAAAGAGAGAGGAATGGGCTGGCACAGTGGCATAGAAGGTTAAAGCCTCTACCTGCAGCACCAGCATCCCATATGGGTGCCTGTTCAAGTCCCAGCTGTTCTATTTCCAATCCAGCTCCTTGCTAATGTGCCATCGAAACCAGTGGAAGATGGTCCAAATACTTGAGTCCTTGTACCCATGTGGGAGACCAAGAAGAAGCTCCTGGCTTTGGCCTGGCCCAGCCTTGGCTGTTCTGACCATTTGAAGAGTGAACTAGCAATGGAAGATCTCTCTCTCTCTCTCTCTCTCCCTTTCAAATAAATAAATGAAAATCTTTAAAAAAAAAAAAAAAGGTGAGAAAGAAAGCTTTCTGGTAAGTCTTGATTTTCTTTTGTGGACAGCCAAGAATAGAGGTATCATTTGCTAAGCTACAGGATATCAAAAAAAGCGAAAATCATGAGTTTGTTTAGGAATGTTTTAAGTTTTTTTATTGGTGACATCAGGTAGATAGTGCAATGTATCTTATTCAACATAGTATCCAGCACCTAATACAGTGTGTGTTTCAAAATAAATATTCAATCCGTATTCATTAACTAATTGAGGGTAGCAAACTACCATTTGTTGTACTGACTCTAATGGGCATTTTACCTACTTCATCTTATTTAATCCTGCACATTAGTACTGCGATTCCAATTATACAAAGTAGGGGACAAGTCTAGGGACATTAAGTAACCCAACAAAGAAGCTAGAGAATAAAGACTAAAACTCAGGTCTGCTTACTTACAAATCCCATGCAAAGTCTTTGTTCTTGCCTCCCCCTTTCCAACACCACATAACGTTTGTTTCATGGAAATGTAACAGCTTCTTCCACTCTGACTTAGAAAATTTCTTTTCTTCCCTGAACTCCTTTCTCTTCTCTAGCTGAAGTGTGCACTCTTCAGAACAAAATCCCGCTATTTCTCCTTTGCTTCTACTCAAGATTAGGGCAGGGAGTCTGCTGCCTTCTCCACAAGCACTTTATTCCAGACAAATAAAAATTGAAAAATGGAAAATGCTCCCAGTGATACAAGATTATGGATGCACCCATTTAATGTGTATTCTTCAAAATTTTCAAGGAAGCTGAAATCTAATTTCATCTATTACATGATTGTACTAAATTACTTAACCACATCAAAGCATCAATGGCCTCACACTCTGGGGAGGCACATTGTAAAATTGTTTTCAAGTATATAATGCAGTCTCTCAGGTGCTTGAGAGAAAGAGAGAGACGCCCATCCCCAAGTATAAAGCTTCCCTTACACTTCTGAGATCAAAACAACAGAGCTATTATTTGAGAGACTGGATGAAATACCAGAGCCATTTCTTATTAGCTTCAGTCATTAAAGAGAATTTAGTAGCCTGGCAAGTTATGCTTTTTTCTTCCTTAAAAAAAAAAAGCAATCTTAATGCAATGAAAGAGCCAAAGATTTTGAAGATCAAGATTTATGGGTAAATTTCTCACTAATTACATTGTTTTCTGCTTTCAGAAAAGAAGACCAAAACTCATTTTCCAATTTTCCTCTGCATCTCAGGCTAAATATTTTAAGAAAGCAAAAAGGGATGTTAAGCGTATTGCCCTTCACTAACAGCAAGGAAAGTTACTACTATGCCACCACTACTACTACAAGTTCTAATGAAAAATATCATGTGGAAGTCTATTCTCCTGAGGGCCAGCACTGCGGTATAGTGGGCTGAACTTCTGCCTACAGTGCCAGTATCCCATACAGGCACCGGTTCATGTCCTGGCTGCTCCTCGTCTAATCCAACTCTCTGCTATGGCCTGAGAAAGCAGTGGAAGATGGCCCAAGTACTTGGGCCCCTGCGCCCATGTGGGGGACCCAGAGGAAGCTCCTGGCTCCTGGCTCTTGGCTTCAGATTAGCCCAGCTCCAGTTGTTGTGGCCATTGGGAAGTGAACCAGGTGAACAGGAGTGATTGAGGTGAACAGGGCTTCAATTCTAAGGTAAGACCCTAGGAACCTCAGAAACATCCCCTCATCTCCTTCTGTCTCCTGACAACAATGATTTTGAAAGCCATGGGATAGTGGGAATTCAGACCTTGTATGAAGAAAAGAATATTTGAGAAGGAAATGCAGCTTAGTAATTAAAGTGTAGGCACTAGGTCTGGATTATTCAAACACTTCCTAGCTCTGAACATTGTACAGGTATTTCCCTTATTCTGTACTTCAGTTCCCCTCAGTAGGCAGGGATTAATGTACTGAGCATAGTATTCCTTGTGTTTATATTGGCAAACTTTTCATCGCTATAACAAAATGCCTGAGGCCGCTAGCTTACAAGAAGAAAATACTTACTTAACTCACCGTTTTAGAGGTTCAGAGTTCAAATACAGGCTTAGGCTTTAGCTCTGGGGAGGGGCCCATGGTGGAAGGTGGCTCACATACAGAGGAGGAAGTACCTGGCAAAGAGGGAAGCAGAGGCCGGCGCCGCGGCTCACTAGGCTAATCCTCTGCCTGCGGCGCTGGCACACCGGGTTCTAGTCCAGGTCAGGGCACCAGATTCTGTCCTGGTTGCTCCTCTTCCAGGCCAGCTCTCTGCTGTGGCCTGGGAGTGCAGTGGAAGATGGCCCAAGTGCTTGGGCCCTGCACCTGCACGGGAGACCAGGAGAAGCACCTGGCTCCGGGCTTCAGATCAGCCAATGGAAAAGGAAGACCTTTCTCTCTGTCTCTCTCACTGTCCACTCTGCCTGTAAAAAAAAAAAAGAAAGAAAGAAAAGGAAGCAATGAGAGAGAGAGACTGTGCCCAAGAGTAGAATTTTCTAGCAACCCTTCTGCAAGAGCCACCTTCCAAGGACATCTTCCCAATGATCTAAGGATCACCCATTAGGTTCCACTTCCCAAACACTGTAATGGGATTACATTTCCATCATCTTAGTACCAACCTATGACTTTGGAATTTAAGTCTTGTATGATTTTTTTTTTTTTGACAGACAGAGTGGACAGTGAGAGAGAGAGAGAGAAAGGTCTTCCTTTACCGTTGGTTCACCCTCCAATGGCTGCTGCGGCCGGCGCACTACAGCTGGTGCATCGCACTGATCCGAAGCCAGGAGCCAGGAGCCAGGTGCTTCTCCTTGTCTCCCATATGGTGCAGGACCCAAGCACTTGGGCCATCCTCCACTGCACTCCCTGGCCACAGCAGAGAGCTGGCCTGGAAGAGGGGCAACCGGGAAAGAACCCGGCGCCCCGACCGGGACTAGAACCCGGTGTGCCGACGCCGCAAGGCAGAGGATTAGCCTAGTGAGCCGTGGCGCTGGCCAAGTCTTGTATGATTTTGAGGGCCAAAACATATTCAAACTCCAGCTGTGTTGCTGTGATTAGGTAAATCATAATTTCAAGAAACACAGGAGAGTCCCAGGCATGTGGTTTGTACTCAGTAAAGGCTATTATTGGTACTCTGCTACACATTTTATCTTATTTAATGGTTGCCATATTTGTTTTACATTTTATGAGTGAATTGAAGCCTGAGGAGGTCAGGGAATTTTCCCAGGTCTGCAAAGCTAAGAAAGACATTTTTTAAAGAGAAGACAGATTCGGAATCCAGTTCTGATTCTCGAATTCCAGACTCTGTAAAACATGACCATTGTTCAATGCCTCTGAAGATACACAGCTCTCCAAAACACATCCCTCCCTCACCTCCAATCCCCTTTACTAATTCCTCAGCCACAGATTCAACTGCAAGAAAAGACAGATGGCAATGGAAATTCTTTCACCTCTTTCAGGGTTCACAGAGGGAAAGGTTGAACTGTCTCCCCTCCCAGCCTGGGCTAAGCCACATGGATATCTGACCTTTGGAAACTGAGTTCTCAGACGTCAAGGGAGGCCCATATTTTGAATTCCCATTGTCGATTTCTGGCAAATTCATGAGGGGGAGCTCTTGGAAAATGCCACAGGCCTGGGGAAGTGCTGAGCCCTGCCCTGGGAACTCTGCTGGGTGTCGTGAAGAGAGAGTGAAGGTGACTGACCATTTGCAGTCAGGACCATAATGAACTGAAGTCTCACAGAAACCATAAAGCCAAAGCAGAGGAAGGGCTGGGACCCACAGAGCAAACTGGAACCACTTGTGAAAGAACTAAAAGGATGTTTTCCCAAAGGCTGGACACAGGCTTGGTCCAGTTTCCCAGGTTCCCTTTCCATTCACAGATGGATGCTGAAGAAAATAAATTTTGAGTAAAAATCACTCTGCGCCTTGTGGTATTGGGTTTCCTCAGGGGGATGAAAGAATGTGGCATTTGCATTCACATGACCCTGATGTCTCTGAGCCTCCCACAGCACCCAAAACACTTCTGAATTATCTTGAAAATGCATTCTTAATTATGACAGAGTTTTCTTTAAAGAATCTCAAAACCAGAGAAGGGATTACCTTTATGAGGCACAGACCACGTGTCAGGTGCTGGGCTGCCATCATAAACCCTTCCACAACCCTGTAGTTACTGTCCTCACATCCCAAATGAGGCTTGGAAAGTGTAAGCAGCTTGCCCAGGGTCACAGAGCCAGGAAGTGGTACACTGGCATGCAGCCTGCCCAGTGTGAGTGGCAGAAGTCTTCCTGGGGCAGGAGCTGTGGCACAGTGGGTTAAGCCTCTGCCTACAGCACTGGCATCCTATATGGGTGCCATTTCCAGTCCTGGTTGCTCCACTTCCAATCCAGATGCTTGCCAATGTGCCTGGAAAACCAGCAGAAGATGGCCCAAGTTCTTGAGCCCCAGAACCCACACAGGAGACTGACATGAAGCTCCTGGTTTTGCCTGGCCCTACCCAGGCTGTTGTGGCCATGTGGGGAATGAACCAATGGATGGAAGATATTCTCATTCTCTCCCTCTCTCTCTTTCTCTTTCTGGCCCTCTCTGCCTCTTTCTCTCTGTCTCTCTATAACCCTATCTTTCAAATAAGTAAATAGATATATATTTTTTAAGAAAGTCTCTGCACAGCTCTCTGACTTCTGATGGAGTCTTCTTGTCCATGCCTCAGTACCCTATGCAAGGTCCCTGGACAACATCTCCAAGGTCTGTGTTTTCAACATTGGTTTGAATACCTGCTATGAGAAGAAGTCCAATGCTACTTTCTTATTGTAGTAAATTAAACAAACACAGAATTTATCACTTTAACAATTTGAAAGCCTACAATTCAATGTCATGTGGTATACTCACAGGGTTGTACATCCATTACCATCTCAATGCAGAAAGCCTTCATCACTCCAAAAGGAAACTCCATACTCTTTAAGTTGTCAGTCCTCATTCCCCATATCTCTGGCTTTCCGTCTGTATGATCTGCCTATTCTAGACTATTCTTACATATTAAATGATACAATACTTGGCCACTGTGTGTGACTACTATCATTCAGTGTAATTCTGTCAGGGATCATTCACGATGTAGCATTTTTCAGCACTTTACTACGTTGCATGGCTGAAATCTATCCAGTGTATAGATATACCACATTTCAATTATCTGTCCATCAATTGGCAGGCATTCATGATTTTTAATTATTGTACTTAGGTCTGACATCAGTAGTCTTATACACATTTTTAGAATACATGTTTTAAATTACTTGGTGTATCCATTGGATTAGAATTGCAGGTTCATATGATAATCATATATTTAATTTGTTGAAGAATCACCCAATTGCTTTCCACTCTGTTTATACCACTTGATGTTCCTACCAACAACATGTAAAGGTTTCAGCTTCTCCACTTTCTCACCAGCACTTTTTATTTTCTATTTTGTACTATTTTGCTTTTTAAATTATAGCTATCCTATTGGCTATAAAGGGGTATAACACCGTGGTTTCTTATTTGTATTTCCCTGATGAGTATTGACATGGAGGAATTTTCCGCATGCTGTTGGTGATCTTTGTAGCTTCTTTGGAAAAATGTCTACTGAAGTCTTTTCCTTGTTTTTAAAAGTGGGCTATTTGTCGTTTTGATGTTGAGGTACAGTAATCATTTTTATATTGTGAATATAAGATCTTTATCGCATATATGATTTACAAATAGTTTCTCTCATTCTCATGTTTTTAAATTTTTTATTTATATACAGGGAATAAATTTTATGAATTTCACATATACGACTTTAAGATCAATTCGGGACATGCTCAAGCTGACTTACCTCAAACGATAGAGTTAGAAACATACCAGGGGAATCCAATACAATCCCATCAAGGTGGCATGTACCAATGCCATCTCACTAGTCCCAGTGATCAATTTCTGTTCACAATTGATCATAATGATAGGACTAAGAGCCAAAGGGAGCACATAAACAAGACTAGTGTCTGCAAATACTAGCTGATAGAATCAAAAAGGGAGAGAACGATCCAACATGGGAAGCGAGATACTCAGCAGACCCATAGAATGGCAGATGTCCTAAACAGCACTCTGGCCTCAGAATCATCCCTTAAGGCATGTGGATCCGGCTGAAAAGCCCATGAGAGTATTTCAGGCATGGAAAGCCAAGACATTCTGGGGAAAAAAAAAAAAGACCTAAATGAAAGATCTCTGTGAGTGAGATCCCAGTGGAAAGAACAGGTCGTCAGAGAAGGAGGTACCTTTCTCTGAAGGGAGGAGAGAACTTCCACTTTGACTACGACCTTGTCTAAATATGATCAGAGTTGGTGAACTCAAAAGGCTTCCACAGCCTTGGCAACTCATGACAAGAGCCTAGGGTGATTACTGATGCCATAAACAAGAGTGTCAATTTTTTTATTTAAGTCAACAACAGGAGTCACTGTGCACTTACTCCTCATGTAGGATCTCTGTCCTTAATGTGCTGTACATTGTGATTTAATGTTATAATTAGTACTCAAACAGTATTTTTCACTTTGTGTTTCTATGTGGGTGCAAACTGTTGAAATCTTTACTTAATATATGCTAAATTGATCTTCTGTATATAAAGAGAATTGAAAATTGAATCTTGATGTGAATGGAAGGGGGGAGGGAGAGGGAAAGGGGAGGGTTGTGGGTGGGAGGGAAGGTATTGGGGGGGAACCATTGTAATCCATAAGCTGCACTTTGAAAATTTATATTCATTAAATAAAAGTTAAAAAAATAAATACAATTTTAAAAAAAGGAAAAAAAAGATCATAATGATACTTCCTACTCTACTCTCCACTCCTACCCCCCTCACTCCCACCCTTCCTCTTTCCTTCTTTATTTTTCTTTTAATTTTTACAATGACATACTTTATTTTATTTGACAGTTAGAGTTATAGACAGTGAGAGAGAGATAGAGAGAAAGGTCTTCCTTCTGTTGGTTCACCCCCTAAATGGCTGCTATGGCCAGTACTACACTTACCCAAAGCCTCTTCCTGGTATCCCATGCGGGTGCAGGGGCACAAGCACCTGGGCCATCCTCCACTGCCTTCCTGGGCCACAGCAGAGAGCTGGACTGGAAGAGGAGCAGCCGGGACTAGAACCCGGTGTCCATATGGGATGCCGGCGCCACAGGCAAAGGATTAACCAAGTGAGCCATGGCGCCAGCCCCACAATGACATACTTTCAATTTACCTTATAATCACAAGCTTTCTCTCTTCTCACTTTCTTGATGGAGCAAAAAAGTTCTTAATTTTGATGAAGTATAAACTGCTTTTTCTTTTATGGCTTGTGCTTTTGGTGTCATGTCTAAGAAATTATCAACAAAGCCCAGGTAATGAAGGCTATTTGTGTTTTCTTCTAAGAGTTTTATAATTTTAGGTCCTATATTTAATCTTTGATCTATTTTGAGTTACATTTTTTTATTTAGTGTGAGATACAGATTCATCTTCATTCTTTTTTGTGTGTTTAAACACCTAAGAATAATTGTGTGTTAGTTACAGAGTTCAACCAATAGTATTAACCAGAACAAAAAAAAAATACTAAAAGGTATAAAGTATTAAGTTGTACATCAACAGTCAGTACAATAGCC